ACTCACGCTGGGTGTGTGCGTGTGTGCCAAGATCCCGAGAGGGGAATGGAGGAGAGGGGATTGCAGCGAGGCCATCCTCCCAGGGGGTAATTTCTCACTTTCTGTCTCTCTGTCTCTCTCTGTCTTTCTGGTGAGTGCACATGCCCTGAAGCAAAAACCTCTCAAAAAAAAAAAAGGAATATTCCAAAAATTAATCAAAAACAAAAAAGTGCTTAGAAATTTCAAAAATTAAGTAGCACGATTCAATACAAAATTAAGAAAATGTGTTCAAAAACAGTAAAAATGAGAGATTTTTTTAAAAAGAGCGAGAAGACCTAGACAGTGGAGCGATAGTAAAGTGGGTACTCTGCAAGGCTGACCCACAGGGGAAGGTTACAGGTTCACATCTGAAGACCTCCCAGAGTATACCAGACACATGCATGCCCATGATCCAGGGAATAGGATAAATCGAGACCCCATTGGGGATCTCTCTCACTATCTCTTTTATCACTTTATCTCTCTCACTCATAGGAAAAATAAACTTTAAAAGAAACTCACAAGAGAGAAAAAAAAAATCTTAAAAAAAGAGGGCATGGGGCCAGCCCTGTAGCCTAGTAGTTAAGGACATCAAATCCCACATAACCAACTGTGGTTCAAGTCCTGCCCCCAACAGCTTGGAAAACACACTGAAGCATGTGTGTACGTGCTGAAAATTCTGACAGGAGGGAGAAATAGAGAAGGGATTGCAGTGTGACCACACCCCATTGGGATCTCTCTCTCTCTGTCTCTCTCCGGCAAGCGCATGTACTCCCTGGCAATTAAAAAAAGAAAGAACACTGGGCTGGCAACAGTTAGGTGCTACTAATAGAAAGCCGATCCCATGGCCAACTGTGGTTCGAATCCCTGTCCCAGTGACTTGAAAACACACCAGTACATGTACAAACATAGGCACATGAGAGCCCCCTACTGTTCAACGTTAGCCTGGATAATGGCTACACAGGTGTTTGTTTTATCATTATTATTAACTGTGTATATATGTTTTAGAAATTCTTTTATATGTGTGAGGCATTTCAAAATTTAAACCAAAAAATATGAATAAACATATAAAAAATTACCTGGGGAGGCTGTTAAAAAGGCAGATTCCAGGGCCAGCAGATAGCATGGACAACCAGGTTTCAAGTCTTGGATCTGGTGGCTATCTCACTTTCTCTCTCTCTCTTGCTCTCTCTCTCTCTCTCTCTCTCTCTGTGTGTGTGTGTGTGTGTGTGTGTGTGTGTGTGTGTATCTCTGGTGAGTGTCTATATCAAATTTAAAAATAATAATAATGATGATAAATAAAATCAAATAAATAATTCTTTTAAAAAATAATAAAAGAAGAAGAAGGCAGTTTGCTAGTTCCACTGTAATTCTGACTCAAGAGATGTGGCCAGGACCTGGGAATCCATATTTTTAAACAATGCTGATGCAAGGGGTCCAAAATCCTTTCCTTTCATAGAATAAGAGTGTATTTCCTCAGATGTGATCATTTCAATGAATCTGGTCCTATAATCCAGATGATTTCCACTTAGCAAAGAAAGACTATTATCGATGAGTCCAGCAGTGGCATAGTGGTTAAAGCACTGGACTCGCTCAAGGCTGACCATAATTCGAGCCCCAGACCCGGCAGCTTGAAATTTCACGCCGGGCATGTGTGTTCACAGCCCCAATTCCCAAGAGGAGAATGAGGAGAAGGGATTGTAGTGTGGCCATCCTCCCTGAGCTATATATCTCTCTCTATCTCTCCAGCAAGTACATGAGTCCAATAGCAAAAACTCTCTCTTAGAAAAAATGACTACTGCTAAAAATTTTTCCACAGGTTTTAAACTTTTCATATTCTTTAGCTAAATGTGAAAATCCAAGAAAATAACCTCAAACTGAGGAGTTATTTAAAATAGAAGATATTAGAAACAACTTAAATAGCACGATTTAGTAGACCGCAGAAGTAAGGTTATACAGACTGTGAGCTAAATTCATAGAATGGAATAGCACATGGCCACTAAATGACTTTTTAAAAACAAATATAAGTTATTTTGTGATACTAAATAAAAAAAGAGAGAATATATCACCATATATTATATATATGCATACATATACATATATATGCATATATATATGCACACTTATATATGTATGCATTTATATATATTTGAGCCAGCAGGTAGTATATATATATAGTAAGGCACTAAACTCCCACATGGCTGACTATGGTTCAAGTCCCAGACTCAGAGGCTTGCTTTCTTATTTCCCCTCCGTTTCTCTCTGGTGAGTATACACACCTTGCAGCAAACTTTAAAAATGACAACAAATAATAAATAAAATTAAGTGAATCTTCAAAAAAAGTATATATAGGAACCAGCAGTTAGCGTAATGGCTATGTCGCTGGACTCCCACGTAGTCGACCATGGTTCGCGTCCCGGACCCGGTGGCTTAAAACTCATGCCGGGCACGTGTGCGTGCGTGCCCAAGATCCCGAGAGGAGAATGGAGGAGAAGGGATTGCGGCGTGGCCATCCATTTCTCGCTTTCTGTCCCTCTGTCTCTCTCTGTCTGTCTGGCGAGCACACATGCCCTATAGCAAAAACATCTCAAAAAAAAAAGTATATATACAGGGACCAGCAGTTAGCATAATGGCTATGTCACTGGACTCCCATGTAGTCGACTGCGATTTGAGTCCTGGACCCGGTGGCTTAAACTCATGCCAGGCGCGTGCACAGGCGTGCCCAAGATCCCGAGAGGAGAATGGAGAAGGGATTACAGCATGGCCACCGCCCCGGGGGGTGATTTTCCACTTTCTGTCTCTCTGTCTCTCTCTGTCTTTCTGACAAGCGCACGCACCCTATAGCAAAAATCTCTACAAAAAAAGAAAAAAAAAGTATATATATAATAAAGTAAACCAGCGTTTCCATGGAAAACAATGAGAGAAAATAAAATGATAAAAACAGGTTATCTTTAGAGTAAGAGATGGGCAGATTTTTTTTCTTCCTTTTTACTTTTCTATATTTTTAAGAATTATTTTATTTAACTTTATTTATTGTTATAATCATTATTTTCCAGTTTTTTGGTTTTTCTGTTTGTTTGGGTTTTTTGTTTTGTTTTGTTTTGTTTTTTATCAGAGATAGAGAGAGGGAAAGCAACAAAGCAAGCTGCCAAGTCTGGGACTCAAACCGCAGTCAGCCATGTGAGAGTCCAGTGCCCTTAACCACGATGCCACTTGCCGGCCTTCTTTTTCTATATTTTCCAAATATTCCATAATGAGATTTTAAGAGCTTCATTTAAATATGTACGTGTGTGTGTGTATTTTCTTTTGTTACCTTTTCCGATCTAAATTATTATTTTTTTTTGCAAGATGGTGTGTGTGCCTATGAAAGTGAGCAAGAAAGTACTCCCATGGCGATGGTCATTCCACAATTCCTTCTCCTCCATCTCTTCCTCCTTTTGAGATTTTGAGCATGTATGCACACATGCCTTAGTGTGTTTCTCAAGCTGCTGGGTCAGGGACTTGAACTGTTCAGTTGTCTGTGTAGGATCCAGCCACTTGGGCTGGCCCCTCTAAACTAATTTAAAGGCTCTGCATCAGCTAGGGTTCATAAAAGACAATGACATTTCCACACATACGGGTTATCAGAGCAGAAGCGATGCTTGAGAAATCTCACCAGTGAGAAATCTGAAACCAAGAGAAGTGAATTGACAAACACAAGGGGACATGGAGGTGTGATGTGGGAACTGTTCCTAGGACTCGCTATTCCTCTGGACGCGCTTCCATTCCCCACACCACCTCCTCAGTCTTCATAGCGCAGAAGTGAACCTTTGTACCCTAGCCTCCTGATTCAACCTGTGATAGGACCAACCTCAACAGCATCTCGGAGAAGCTCATTGGAAATGCAAATTCTCAGACCTCTTTCTTGAGAAAGGGAATGAGAATGTGCTTTTTAACAAGATCCCCAGAGCAAGAATCTAGGAGAAATGACAAAATAATATAAAAATAATACAATTAAACACAATATAAAATGATCAAATTAAATCTGGTCATTTGATTAAGACTGAAGTTGACTTGGAGACTGAAGTTAAAACAAAAAGAACTCACTCCAACCCAGACGGTGATATGAAGCAGTTTTTTTAAAGAGAGTTTTTTTTACTATAGTGCACGTGTGCTCGCTGGAGAAAAAGAAAGTCCACGCCGCAATCCCTTCTCTTCCTTTCTTCTCTTGGGATTTTGGGAACTCACGCACACGGCATGTGTTTTAAGCCATGGTCACACTACACGGGAGTCCAGCGACATAATCATTACACCATCTGCTGGTCCTGATAGGACCATTTCACCATCTGCTGGTCCCGAAAGACATATTTCTCAGCCTCTCTCTGCCCTGGTTGTCCTCTAAAACGGGAATGATAAACACACATTGAAGCCTAACAAGTACAAAAATGGTAGCTGGGGTGCCATTATGAACAGAACTAGTGAATAACGCTTCTTGTTGGGCATGTTGCAGCAGGCCTGGCGCTCTGTCAAAGCTGGGATTCCCTGCACACTTCTTCGCACAAAGTAGTTCAGCCAATCCGAGTTTCATAAATGATCAGCAAGAGCGCAGGTGACATTCGTCACGCTTCGACTTGCACCGTTCCGTTCCTTAGTATACAACGGTCTCAAAATTCCCAGTTTTTCTCCACTTCAACATTGAAAACCGCGCCAGCTTCCACCTCCACCTCCACCTGACGGTAAGGAAGAAGAGGATGACAGTCCTCAGTAAACTCTACTCGTGCTGTAAATCATTGGTACCCTATAGAAATCTCTAAACACACCCTGTTGTTACCCCGCCCCCTTTTCCTAACCACGCCCCCTCCATAGTGTTCGACCCCAGCATCCCCGAAGGCCCCGCCCCAGGCCGCGAGTCTTCCCTTTCCACCTCACACTTTGCCCCGCCCCTCATCCATGGCCTCGCCCAACCAGTGGGCTCGCCGCCGCAGGCCCCGCCCCCAGCTCGCGGTCGCGCAGGGCTCGCGCTTGAGCGCTCGGCACGCGCAGCCTCATTACCACCCGCAGCCCCGGCGTGGGGTTCCTGCGGCGCGTGGGCTCGAGGCTGCCCGAGGCCTGGGCGGGAGCCTTGTCCCAGCCCGGCTCCAGGTAGGACCTGAGTGCCGGCAAGCGAGGCTAAGGCGCCGGTCTCCGGAAGCCTCGTGGGAGGGGCAAGGGCCCGGGGCCGCGCGGCGAGGGAGGACGGGCGGAGCTGTGGAGGAGGCCGCGCCTGGGCCGGGAGCTGCTGGGCGCCGCGGAGGGCAGTGCGGGACCTGGGCGGACGGTTACGGGCGCGGGTGGCACGGCCTTTCTCCTGTGAACGCGCGAGGTGAGCAGGCGGCGACCCTGCTCTTCCGGGACGGGCGGGGAAGGAGGATGGGGATGGGAATGGGCGCCGCCCCCTCGCGCGCAGGTCCTGGACCCCGCACGGAGGCGATGCTGGTGATCATCCGGGACAGATGGTGTCTCTGAGGCAAGAGGAGGGCGGGGAGTGGACAGCGAGCCCCAGGTGGACGCCACTTGTTTCTTTTCTAGCTAGACACGGTCCTTGGAGAAGATGGATGCAGAGAGGCG